AAGTAGAGAAATACATCCGCCTCTATGTGGGACGACGACAAGATGACTGGGCAGAGCACCTTCCCATGGCGGAGTTTGTGATTAACTCACGGACTCATTCTGCTCTGGGCATGTCCCCGTTCGAGCTAACCTACGGCTATCTTCCCCTGTTCAATATCCCAGTGGGCCAACGCAGCGGTATTCCAGCTGTAGATGACCGTATACGGATTCTCTGAGAAGCGCGACAAGATGCCGGGGCTGCCTTACACCTAGGAAAGAAACAACAGAAGGAGGGATATGAACGCGGGAAGCGGAAAGCTGATCAATTTAAAGTTGGAGACCTAGTCTGGCTCAGTGCAGAGGACATTAACCTTCAGCTTTCCAGTGAAAAGTTAGGAGATCGACAGCTTGGCCCTTATCGCATTCTGGAGAAAATTGGCCCTTTAGACTACCGCCTTGACCTTCCCCTATCCCTAGATCGCCTCCATCCCGTCTTCCATGTTGATAAACTATACCCCTGGAAAGGTAACTCCATTAATGGCGAAATACCAACACCACCAGAGCCGGTATACTTAGAGGATGAAGATGAACCGGAATACAAAGTAGAGGAGATCTTAGACAGCCGGGTTCGATGGAAGAAGTTGGAATATTTGGTTAAGTGGAAAGGTTACGACGCAGGGCACAACTCTTGGGAACCCGCAGCCAACCTCAGTCGAGCACCAAAAATTGTTCGGGCCTTTCATAAAAAACACCCAACGGCGGCAAAACCTTGACCATCGAGGACAATGGTCATAAGGAGGGGGGTAATGTCATAAAGTACGCAGCCCCTATCATTTTCCTTTTCTCACCGTCTCGACGCCTTTACTTGTACGATACATCATCCCATCACTGTCAAACCTCCATCGATTACTGATCCACCTGACCCATCTTCTCCTTCTACTGGCTTCCGCCACCTTCCTTGTTCCTAAACTGTACAGTATTACATCGTTGTTTCTCGCAGACCGGATTATGTATATATAGCCAACCCTCCACAGCCTGGTCCCTTATCTTGACCTCTCTGTCATTATCTGGGACCAGGTATGTGCTTACTTATTATTACCTATGACTATGATACTCAATATATCTCTGTCATTATCTGGGACCAGCCTGCCGCCGTTCTGCTTAGTCGCTCCGCCTTGTTGCCCTGTTCAGTTGCTCCGCCTCGCCGTTCTGCTTAGTCGCTCCGCTTTCCCGCTCCGTTAGTCACTCTGCCTCTGTCGCTTCGTGACACTAATGGATGTAAATATATCATCCATGGAAGGGATTCACTGTCTTCGTGGTCGGAGGCCCGAGCAGTAAAACATGAGAATGCTAGAACTTTAGGAGAATGGTTCTTTGACGATATAATTTGTCGTTGGGGATGTCCTGAAGAAGTGGTGACCGATAATGCAGGTCAAATGAAAAACATGCTAGCTTGGTCAGAAGAGAAGTATGGAATTAAAGGAATAAGAATTTCCGCCTACAATTCTCAAGCTAATGGAAAGATTGAAAGAGCGCATTTGGACATACGCCAGGCTTTAATTAAAGCAACTGGTGGAGATGTATCTAAATGGTTCTACTTTTTGAAAATGATACTATGGGCGGATAGAGTAACACCAAGACGTGGTCTAGGTTGTTCTCCATATTTCCTGGTAACAGGAGCTGAACCGTTGCTTCCCTTTGATATAGTGGAATCAACTTGGTTGGTGAATCCACCTAATAGAATCTTAACTAGAGATGAATTAATTGGATATCGTGCTCAAGCTCTGTCGAAACATAACTCATTCATTGAGAAAGTACGACGTAGAGTAGATGCAAATAAAGTTGCAGAGCTACGAAGATTTGAACGAAAATATAGACATACAATTAAAAATTGGAATTTCAAACCAGGTCAATTGGTACAGGTTAGAAATTCTGGAATCAAAAAGAGTTTGGATAGAAAGATGTATCCAAGATATAGAGGACCTATGGTTGTAATCAGACGGACTAAGGGGGGCTCTTATATCATTGCTGAAATGGATGGAACAGTACTCAAAGAGAAGGTCGGAGCCTTCAGAGTATTGCCGCATTTTACACGAGAAGAACCAATTGAATTGCCAAACAATATTCATGAACTTATCGACTTAACTGCCGAACAATTAGATTTAATGGTAGAAGACGAAGATGAATATTGGATGACACCAGAAAATGATTACATATTTGATGCCATACCACATTTGAGACTCTCAGATACCAACTTTGACGAAGAACTCAGTGAGGAAGAGGATCAATAATCAGATTGAAACTCTAGATGATATACTGTTACAAACTAACATCATGAAATGAATGGCGATGGTAAGATGATGCATCTACTATACAGCTGTGATGGCGTAAAGACAGTAGGCATGAAACAAATGAATACGAATAGAGGAAACCATGTAAAGACAGTGGGTCAACACGAACAACTGTTTTTATAATATTTATGGGTTTTAAACAAATGCATCTAAATGATGATGTATCAGTTTAAATGAAAATCAATTAGATGGAATGCAGACCTAGGCAGAGACGTGTCCTTTGTCTTCCATCATAGGAGTAACACCACGAGTGAATGGAGTAGTGGCTCGTTCGACGGTCTTAGGGACTGGAACAGCATTCTCTGTAGGAGTGACGACGGTGTCCTCAGAACCAGTGGTGGGAATACTCTGAGCAGTAGCGAAACTTGTGTCAGAAGCAGAAGAGTCTGAACCAGAATCTTGGCGACTTTTCAAGATGCTGCAAGCTTCGTCCGCAATTACCTTGGCAATACGTGCACGAGTTGCATAAGTCTTGACCAGGTTTGCGTTAAATTCGAATTCAGCTGCCTGAAAGTTGAGTGTAGCAGCAATGAATTTGGTACTTTGCGACTCAAGAGGAGCTGGCGGAGTATCGAGATTGGAAGATACGACTTGAGCAAGAGCATGATTGATATGCTTGCTATGGGTCACTAAAACATGAAATAAGAATCCATTTGAAACGGATTCGAATTAAATTAAATCACCTTTATCTTCAGCGAGGCACGACATACAGTTAGAAGAAACATGACTGTCAGCGTGGCAATGAACCTTGCTGAGACGAGGAGAAACATCGTTCACAGCAGACTTTTCATCCTTATTGGAACCTTTGTTGGAACCAGTGGTGGGATAGGGAGTGCTGCGACGATTCTACGACATAGAATGAGTCGTAGATACAGAACATGATCCCATTTTAACTCACCTTGATAAAAGAGAGAGTAGGCTTCTGTTTGAAACTGCGTTCAGTTCCAGATACCAACTCGTCCTCGGAGGCTGAGTTCATCTGAACGAAATTGATAAATCAAATTAATTGAGATTAGATCTGAGAATTTACCTCGACATCAGAGTCGAAACGAACAGATCTAGGTTCACGTTTGACGTCATGAGAGGAAGCAAATCTAGTAGCTTTCTTCTTGGACTTCCTGATAAAACGAGAATTTTCGGAACGAGTAGAAGCCTCGTGATCCGAATGAACAGAACGAGCACGATCAAGGAGACGATTCCTAACAAAAGTGTTCTGAAAAGACTATTAATGTAAATAGTCACGAATGAAATTGATACATACACGAGCATCATTGGCAAAAGCCATGAACTTAAGATGTTGCTCGAAGTGAGAATCACTGACGATGTCAGGAAATAGTTTGTGCCCGAGACACAACGTATCGATAATGCTCTGACGAGCAGTCAAGTTAGAAGTCAGTCTAACATGACTACGAAGTGTAACAGGCTTTTCCTGATAATAAACGATTTAAATTAATACGTATCAATTAAATTGAATGAAGACTACATACCAAGAGATCATGAAGATACTCGGTAGACCGACAAAGGACAGAAATTGTTGCCTTGTCGGGATTGTTCGTCTTCTTGCCTTTGTACGAAGCAAGTAGCTGCTGCAAAGCACCCAAGTGGGGCTCAGCAACTCGAGCGATGTCAAGATCCTTCTTGTGATGGATGGGCATGCTAGGATGAACGATGATAGATGTTGATGGAACTTTATATGGAATGAGAGCTCGAGTGAGTTCGACTAATGCAAGTCGACTTGGAACGAATGGCATATTGAAAGTCAATTGGCCTGAGCTTTTATACCAAAACAGTGAAATCAAGATCCTGACCAAATTAGGACAACTGAGGACAGTTGGATTCTTTAGTTTGGGGGAGGAGGATATCGATTTGATTGAAAATTTACAAAATTTCAATTAGACTAATAGTTTTGCAATTAGATTGAATGGTATTGCGAACGCAGTGACCCAGAATTGATCAAAGTGATCATACAGAAGGTCTTAATGGGCGGAATGAGTAAAGAAACTGCGCCTAGAACCTGAAAGTGGAGTTGAGAATACCTCCCAAAGTTGTTATGATCAATGGCGAACGGAGATCGACTTGAGCACTCAGGACAAGGAAGACAGTAAAGTCTTGCGGACCTGATCTCGCATGAAAATTCATGCCAGGATCCGGAATGGAGTCTTACTTTGAACCCCTATTCAAAGGTGGAACTCAGAACTGGCTCGATAATTCGCAAGCACTCATTCAAATTAAAACAAGAATCGAGTTGAAAAGGATATTGAGTGAACCATGGATATAGGAATTCATTCAAATTAATAGAGACTTAAGTTCACTCATTCAAATTAATATAAACATGAGCATGGGAGCTCGTAAATTGAGATATACAAGATAGCAAAAGGCTATCCACAAAAGAGCAATAGGTAAAGCTACCTACAAGAAATACAAGAAAAGATACAAAAAGATATTAGATTAATGAAATCTAATTAAAACGAAATGGTCTCGAGCGACCGGTGGTCCTGAAAAGGTCCATAGATGAGATGTTGGGTCTGAAGACCCGTAAAGACGATACGACCGCGAGTGGTCAGCTATAATGAGATATATGGGCATGGAAGCCCGTCCGTGTATGACAAAATATTAAAAAAAATAATAATAATAATAATAACGCCCCGACGCCCAAGGAACCAGCTACGACTAGAGAGTCTGCGCTGACTCTGCCCCCTTGTCAGGAGACAGAGCTCGCTTGGCCAAACTCTCGATAGTAGGGAGATCCAGCTCCATAGGAACCGATCCCCCTACTTGACTGCTAGCACCCTCGTCCGCAGACCCCCTCTCGACTTCCTTGAGGCCTTCCAAAGCCTCGGTAGCAGAATCCGGAGGCGGGGAAGACTCGACCAGGTGTCCTTGTTCATCGATGTGCGCCGTTGACTCGCCAGAATGGATGCTGCGTAGCAGTTCGATCCATTCCCCTGGAGTTCGATTGTCGAAGTCCAGCCCACTCAAATTGAATGGACTGGGCCAATGGAATAGAGTGGCCATAAGGGTCCACTCATTTAGACTAATCGCCCGACGATTGGGCTCGGCGGCCTTGAGTGCTTCCAGTACAACAATGGGGTCCTCTCCTGCATTCTGCAGATCCAAGATGGATCGCAAGAAGAGGTCCTGTGTGGTGTCGAAAAGAGACCCGAGCTGTTTCAATTGGTCATTCAAGTCGGTGGCTCGTCGTAATGAGTTTGCTAGATCTAAATAAAATCGAATGAATCAAATTAAATAAATCAAATCAAATAAAATAAAAAGGACTTACTATGCGTGCTACTAGAAGAGGCCTTATGGAGCGCGTTGAGTGTGTCCATAGCCAGTTCCACGTCCAAGGATCCTAAGCACTTTAGGCTCCGAGAGGAGCAAGCCTGGCATTTGTACCCGGGTATTGGAGCAGAATTGGCTTCCAAGTCCCCTCAAGCAAGCGCCGAAACGCAAGCCTGACTTGGGAGGGAAGGCTACATAAATTGAAACATGTTAGCAATTAAATTAATTAAAAAGTCAGATAAAATCCTACATCACAAATCACCCGGTTCACCTGCATTAGATCCTGCATAGTAAAACGAGCATTTTGGGTCTCCAAGATGGAGCCCAGCAAACTCAGGATTAACGGCAAGAAGGGGATTTTCGCGATTCAAGGCAGTGCTATTCTATTAAATTAATAGAATTAGTATTAACTAAATTAAATTGAATCACTGTGACTTACCCTGGCATGTGCAAACTTTGGAAAGGGTGTGAAAGCACCAGTTGACTGCTCTGGAAGTCGTAAGCGACCTTGAGCATCCGCCAAGAGTACCGGTTGGAAGGTACTATCGGGGGAACGCTCAGGAGCGGACTTTGTGGCGACCTTTGTAGCTCGTTTGGGGACGGACACCTGTTTAATCGAACAACGAGGCAACGAAGCTGCAATAGAATTAAATTAAAGAAATAAAAGCGAAAAAGCAATGATGAAATGTTACCAGAAATTGAAGATGTCATTTTTGGGCGTTTTGGAGAAGGCGCAGAGTCCTCCTCCTCATCCTCATCTTCTTCCTCGTCTTCAGACTCTACTTCATTGGAAGCAGAGTCGTCTTCAGAAACAACTACTTGTCGGGATTTGCCTTTTGCAGTAGTTGGTGCGATTTTCCTTGAACAAGGAGGGAGTCGAACTCTTTTATAAACCATGGCAGAAGGAGTAGGCTTAGAGGCTTTGGAATCTTCGACTACCTTGACGGTAGTTTTGGGTTTAGGCTCTTTCCTGTCCACGGAAACCTTGGTAGAAGACGAAGCTCGAGAAGCTGAAACTGCAGACGGGAACCCGCTTAAGAGCTCATTATCTGAATCTTTTGAACGGGTGGAACGGGGAGAAGCAACTAAATCAAAAACAAAGATGAAATAAATAAATAAAATGAAACAAATTGAGAAATTAAACTAATACTCACAAAACGCGGAGGCATCAGCCTTGAGACCCTCGACCTCACGATTCCTTCTAAGTGCCCTAGGGGGCACCACTGGTGCTTTAGTGGTCGGAGGAGGAGAGAGAGTTTCAGAAGTAATGGAAGGGGGAATGGTTGATGAATTCCTGAAAAGAACGCCTTGACCGCGTAGTGAGGCAAAGGGATCTAGATCCCTGGAAGGCACCAAACGCATGATTGCGCTTCCCTCGCGAAAACGTAAACAAAATGGAATAGGGATGGTAGGGAATTGTTCAAGATTGAGGACGCCCTGTGAACCCAATTAATAAGATAAAAAGGATTAAAAAAACAAAAAAAAAAAGATGTGCTTACCGAACCAGGAGAACGGTGTTCAGGGGGAATTCCCCATTGCTGCTCCAAATCATCCCTCAAGAAGGCGGGGAGATTGTGAGACAAGTGCTCAGCAGTGAGAATGACATGTTCCGCAAACAAGGGACAATTCGCTCGACCCATCCAAAAGTCGCGAAGATAAAGCTAAAAAGAAGGAGGAATTAAATGGGATACAGAAACGAAAGAGGAAGTAAAAGACGCACCAAGAAAGGTGCCGCCTCCTCAAAGACGTTATATATTCCCTCGGATTCTGTTGGAGCCATATCTTCAAGTAAAATTTGTAATGTGCGAACGGCCATTTGGGCTGAACAGAACAAGTCCAGGCCAGAGGCCACGGACAAGGGACGTGAAGTCTCGATAGAAAAACAGAAAGGGACCAATGCGCGAGGATAAGAGAATGCTGGAAAAGTGCTGGACCCATCGTAATCCAGAGTATGTTGAGGGCTCAGGAGTGGAGGAATATAATCGCCTGCTTGAAGACGCTGAAAGACGGGGCTATCGAAAAACAATGGTAGCGCCGACTTGATTTGAGTGCTCGCTAAAAGGACTTGTGCCTCTAATAACGAGGTTGGTAAACGCGTGGTTGAAACTGCAGTCCGAGTTTGACTCGAAGTGGCAGCCATTTTGTGTGGATGAATAAGATGGAGGAAAGAAATGAAGGGAGAAAACGGACTTCAACAAAAAAATTTGTTGAACCCCATGCCCGGAACCAAATAAACATACACACTGAATCAGTGTGTACGTCAGAACAGTTCTCCGTGAAATGGAAGCTCGTTCTGTGACTAGATGATAAAAAGATTGTGAATTAAAATTTTGAAATGTGATACGAATACCGAAAAAGTATCCAATTCAAATTGAGCACTAAACGGCTACGATTGGTAGCAGGCGTGTGAATAAATTGATAAGATGAGCGCTAGAAACCCATTTGAGGGCATCCAAATTGATTGGAGAGCACGGAGAAGTAGAGATCCAAACCCAGTGAATTACATTAAAAGGAGATATAGTCTTGTCGAATCAATCTAATAACAGATTGGGTATCCTTTCCCTATACAAAACTACGAATGACCGAGGACGGTCAAATTCTTTAGTTTGGGGGGGATGACACGCCTAAATTTTGGCTAGACGTCTATGCTGTGAATTGTAACATTTTCACGTATAGATTTGTATCGAGAGGACTGTAATTGAGACCCAGATTGACAGTCAAAGTCAATACTGAATCAGTCTAATAAGTTGAAGGGACCATATACCCATACTACCACAAGTTGGTTAGTTTACCCATCCCCGATACTACCTATGGATAGCAGTCTACCTGTTTGTCAAGCAGGATTATACCAGACTCGGTAACGAGCTTGCCTCGTTTTTGTGTGAAAGAGAAAGGAAGGAATCTAATGGGCACTCCAACCAACCAATCTAATACACAATATGCGAGTTCACTGCTATCAAATTTATTTAATAGCAAGGGGTAGCGTTGGCAAAGGTTCTGCAAAGCTTTGAGAGCTAAGTAAGAAGCTTTGATCAATCAATTTGAATCGTTCTAAGGATTCGATATATTCCTTTGATCAAGGTAGATTTAGCACGATTTGTGCTGTGGTTTGTATTGATTTGGGTATATCAAGAATTGGGGGTTTGAATCAAAGTAAATTAAAACCGAAACACACAGACCCCTACGGAGGGCTAGAACTATGTGCTGGCACAACCACACAGCGTGATTTGCCCTTAAGACCAACGACTGATCCTAAGTTCGAAGAATACCCAACAACTGGATAGACTTCTCGCAGTCACAAGGAGCAGAACACGACGTTCCTATACTCACAAGTGCCGGGCCCGAATGGCTGCTAGCGAAGAGGTTTCAGTCTGGCGGGAGTGTGTCTTTCCTTTTTACGGATTAGCACTGCAATGTCGTCCCAAAATCACTTCCATTCCAGATACATCGGATCGCTATTTATACATACAGAATATAGAGTCGCATAGTACAATTAATTTAATACAATAAACGTTCGGAACCGCAAGGAAACTTCTACACTCAGTCAGATACCATTTAATTTGAATCTACATGTCCTTATTTGGTCCATATTGGTTCCAAGATTCTAGTATACCTCCAAACATAGGTAGGTACTTCAATATTCATTTAATTTAATTGTTTTTGGAGGATGACTCGAATGGTGTTCAACTGTCATTGCTGTTCAACACTTACTTCGATCGTTTGTCACCTTGTCCGGAGGCAAATCAGCTCTCCTCGATTCTAATCCTATCAATCTGATTCATCTGGATTAAACTAATTGCTTCTCTCTTTCAATAGACACCCATTGTGCCTACACTCAATCAAGGGAGTTACACATAGTATTCATTCAATTGCATTCTTCAATATTTTCTATGTCAGGACTCTTTGACATTCATTTGATATGCCTTCGGAGCCTCGCAGTACTTCGATCATTCTTCTAGTCATTTTCCTCAACCATGCAACTCGATTGGTCTATTAGACTAAACCGCAGTCTTTTAGATTAATGCATGATCTCGTTCTAGAAGGAGTATTTGATAATTCCTGAGTTCTAGAAAGTCATTTCGAGTCAATCCTCGGTTCATGGTCACTTGAGTAAGTTCTTCCAAACTCCTGCCAGTGTAAGGTCCAATAAGAATACCCTTGGTATGTCATACGTGAATGGTCATCCTTCGGATGTAGTTCGAGTCTGGTATAATCCTGCTTGACAAACAGGTAGACTGCTATCCGTAGGTAGTATCAGGGATGGGTAAACTAACCAACTTGTGGTAGTATGGGTATATGGTCCCTTCAACTTATTAGACTGATTCAGTATTGACTTTGACTGTCAATCTGGGTCTCAATTACAGTCCTCTTGATACGAATCTATACGTGAAAATGTCACAATTCACAACATAGACGTCTAGCCAAAATTTAGGCGTGTCTGTCACGAAGCGGCAGAGGCGGAGTGACTAGCGGAGCAGGGAAGCGGAGTGACTAAGCAAGGCGATGAGGCGGAGCGACTAAGCAAGGCGGTGAGGCGGAGCGACTAAGCAGAGCGGAGGCAAACTGGTCCCAGATAATGACAGAGATATATTGAGTATCGTAGTCATAGGTAACAATAAGTAAGCACATACCTGGTCCCAGATAATGACAGAGAGGTCAAGATGAGGGACCAGGCTGTGAGGGGTTGGCTTTATATACATAATCCGATCTGCGAGAAATGACGATGTAATACTGTACAGTTTAGGAACAAGGAAGGTGGCGGAAGCCAGTAGAAGGAGAAGGGTAACAGGTGGATCAGTAATCGATGATGGGGATCAGGTGGGTCAGTAATCGATGGGATTTGACAGTGATGTAATCGTACAAGTAAGGGCGTCGAGACGGTGAGAAAAGGAAAATGATAGGGGCTACATACTTCATGACATTACCCCCCTTCTTATGACCATTGCCCTCGATGGTCAAGCTTTTGCTGCTGTGGGGTGCTTCTTGTGGAAGGCACGAACAATTTTTGGAGCCCGGCTCAGGTTGGGCGCTGGTTCCCAGGAGTTATGCCCTGCGTCGTATCCCTTCCACTTTACCAGGTATTCCAACCTCTTCCACCGGACCCGACTATCCAGGATTTCCTCTACTTCATACTCCGGTTCGTCTTCATCCTCTAGGTAGACCGGCTCTGGTGGTGGTGGTATTTCTCCATTGATAGTGTTACCTTTCCAGGGGTAGAGTTTGTCAATATGGAACACAGGATGAATGCGGTCAAGGGAGATAGGGAGGTCAAGGCGGTAGTCCAGGGGTCCAATCTTCTCCAAGATTCGGTAGGGTCCGAGCTGTCGATCTCCTAGCTTCTCGCTGGACAGTTGGAGGTTGATGTCTTCCGCACTGAGCCAGACAAAATCTCCGACTTTGAACTGGTGGGCTTTCCGTTTTCCTCGTTCGTATCCCTCTTTCTGCTGCTTTTTTCCTAAGTGCAAGGCGGCCCCTGCGTCCTGTCGGGCTTCTCGGAGTATCTGTATGCGGTCATCTACAGCTGGAATCCCACTGCGTTGTCCAACTGGGATGTTGAACAAGGGGAGATATCCGTAGGTTAGCTCAAATGGGGACATGCCTAATGCAGAATGGGTTCGTGAGTTGATTACGAATTCAGCCATTGGAAGGTGCTCCGCCCAGTCATCCTGCCGGCGACCTACATAGAGTCGAATGTATTTTTCTACTTCTTGGTTGGCGCGTTCAGTTTGACCATTAGACTGCGGGCGATACCCGGAAGTAAGATCTGATTTTATTCCCAGTCTGGCAAGTAGGGATCGCATGAGTTTGGCTGCAAACTGAGGCCCACGGTCAGACTTAAAGTGAAGAGGGAGCCCATGAAGACGGAAGATTTCTTTGTAGTAGATGTCAGCAACCCCTTCTGCAGTGATGGAGCTGGTACATGGGAGGGCATGAATTTGTTTCCCATAGAGGTCTGTGCAGACTAGGACTGCGTCGTATCCTTGGGAGTTAGGTAGTTGCGTTATCAGGTCCACCCCTACCTCTTCCCATAGACCCAAGGGTACGTCTAATGGTTGAGTTACCGCTCGTGGGTGTCTTTGGATTTTTTTGCGTGCGCACGTCTCGCATCCCTCTACGTACTTCTCCACAAAGGAGCGCAGTGTTGGCCACCAGAAATGGGTGCTAACTAGATCAAGTGTTCCGTGGAGCCCAGGGTGTCCAGCAGTGGGATGGTCATGACATTGACGTAGTACTTCGGTGCGCAGATCATTGTCTGCTGGCACATACACTCGTCCTCGGTAGTAGACCAGACCGTTGTCCTCCTCCCATTCGGCGATTCCATTGGCCAAGCGCTGTAGTCCGTGCTCTTTGACCGTTTTGAGACCTTCCAATACCTGTGCTTCCCGCTGTGAGGCCTTCCGGATGCGATCCTCTAAGGGGTTCCGTAGGATAGAAGCTGCAATTTTGGTGAAATGGTTGGGCTTAAGGACTGTCTGCTGTCGATTATCCTCATTGTCTAGTACCTGGTGCGCTGCCATACGGGAAAGAGCATCAGCCTGAGTGTTTATTCTACCAGGGCGGTGGATCATGTGGAAGTCAAACCGTGAAAGGTATAGAGCCCAGCGAGCTTGGCGGCGGGTGAGGTCTTGAGCTGTGCGCCAAAATTCGAGGTTAGAGTGATCAGTGATGATGTCAAATGGCTGGGGTAGTCCCTCCAAGAAGTTCCTCCAGTCCTTCAACGCTTCTATGATGGCTAGCATTTCCCGGTCGTAGATCTCATAGTTTCGTTCTGCTGGTTGCATAGAGGCTGATCTGAAGGCGACGGGGTGCCATTGGCCATCATCTTGCTTCTGCATGAGGGCACCGCCGGTAGCGAAGCCTGAAGCGTCTACCTCGATTCGGGTTGGTCTGTCCGGTGTCCATAGGGCTAGGATGGGTGCAGAGATGAAGGCCTCTCGGAGAGTATCAAATGCTTGTTGCTGGGTGTCCATCCAGGTAAAGGATATATCTTTCCGAGTGAGGTCGTTCAGGGGCCTGGCTATCCTTGCAAAGTTCCGGATAAAGCGTCGGTAGAAGTTAGCAAATCCAAGGAACCCTCGTAGCTCTCGAAGGTTAGTGGGGGCTGGCCAGTCGCGAACTGCAGCTACCTTTACCGGGTCC